TTTCTAATGAAACTGCAATTCAAGGTAAATGAATATTCTGAAAGTGTCAATATAATGAGCATGAGCGCAGCTTGAAAATTGGAGTGGCAGAGCAGGACCTATGGGACCGGCTGACTCATAAATCATCTTTCTGAGTGGGGTCAAGGGCCATTTGACTGAAACATGAGTAGAAATGTGATTTTAGTTATGAGAATGTTTTCTCAGTAAGCAATAATACTGTGCGCATATCTCAGCATACATATTGATTAAATGTCAGCATTTTATGTACATACACATTCTAGATAGCTGGGATTAATGCTAAAAAGAATCAGTATGGTCCAAAAAGCTATTGTATGTTATCTCAGTGAATGGCTGACCATTTTTATAATGATGCATTCTATTGTACAACATCTGTAAGTGTTGCGAGACCAGCTAAGAGCATGATAAGTGTTCTGTAATTGCAAATTGAGGTTTGTTTTATGAAAATTTATTACTCTTAAGTAAATTACCAAAAACAGTCCACAGTCCAAGTTATTAACTGTTATTTAGCTGGTGAGCATTTGATTAATCAGACTTCTAGAGTGCAGTGAAGTGAGTGAGCAGGAGAGCGTGTGTGAGGGAGGGGAGTGAGAACATCCCTCTGTATGCTGGACCATGTCTCTGAGCTGAAGGCGAACGGTGCTGGCATGAGGGGTGGGAGGATGTGGGGGCGGGGAGGTGCAGGGGATAACTGGCCTTGGTGCAAGGGAGAAGGAGAAGGAGAACACAGTTAAAGAAGAGGGAGGGCGAGGGAAAGGGAGAAGGAGAGGATGGTGTATCGGACGGATGACAAATTGTGATTAATAAGTGTGGTTCTGGATGTCACTGAGAAGGGCTGTTATTAATAGAGAGAATTAGAGTGTCTGTGCAACTCAATCTGTACACTGTCACTCTGCATCAGGCCCCATAATCAGAGCCTAATGAAACAGCACAACACCAGGATGTAGACACATCCACACCCATGCAATCTGTACTGTACAGTAAACACACATGCTCAGGTAAGTCAGAGAGAAAACAATGCATAGTGCAGAGGAAGCTACTTTGCAAGCATAGCTTTGCAAGCCACCAATTACTTCTCACTGGAAGAAGCTGAACTAGCAAAGGGGAGAAATATAGTTTGATTAACTAAGGCTGCTTAGAAAAAGTAGTTCAAATTACTTTGTTAAAAAAATCAAATTGACAGTGTATAGTACATGTGATACAAATTATACAAAAACTGAGTTTATTACCTGAGTTCTAAACCTGTCCTAAGTAAAACAATCTGAGCTTTTCACAAGGATCCAATTGCAAGGAATGTTTTTTTTTTTTTTGTTATAAGCAAATCTGGATTTTGTATTACCTGACCACAACTAAAATAATAAACTAAAATAAACTTTCACCTTTCTATGCTGTTTGACCAACTGGATCACTGGTCTAAAAATGGGCCTGTCGTGTTACTTGTCGGTTTTGTAACATCTAACTTGTTCAGTCCTAACAACTAAAACAGTCTTGAATGCCTTTTTCCACTATAGCTCATATATTCTCTGGTTTTAGACATGTCCCAAATCACCTCTTTATATCCTTAATGACCTCTAAATTGATTTACAAGACAGTAATCTACAAAGCAAAGAACAGGAGCTGGATAGTTAGATTCCTGTCAGTGTTTTCTGTGGAAGACGTGAGCAGTGGTGCCCCTGGGAGCGATAGCCCTCCGGCAGCTATGTGCTTCTTGGAAATGACGTGTCAGTGTACCCCATGGGTGGTGCACAGTATGTGTTGGTCACACTCCCTGGAAAAGATCATTTAAATATAGAGTTATTTAAATGTTGGTTTGGATGGCTGAATTGAATAATAAGTATGTCTTTAAGAAACCATGCAGACAAACTAAGCATAGCAGAAAAGAAATACAACATGAGCAATGTCACCATAAATAAGTTGCTGCTCCTCTTTTACTTGTTTACAGAAAACAGCAAAGAAAAAAGAAAAGCTAGAGCTTGAATTATGCAGGCATGTACATAAAACACAGAGATTTATTCTTGGTGTATCATAATGTATGAAATGAATTATTAAACAAACTAATAACTCAAACAGCTCAGTACTGATTCTCCTATATGCCCTTTTTCCAGTGGTGACAATAGAGACTATATGAGTCACAGTAAAGTCAGAGAAAGAGACATGATAAAGCAATTGCACTGGAAAAAACCCCCCGACAAATTTCATCAACATAATGCATAATGTTTAAATTTTAGCTGAGTGTGAATAGTAAGGGAGAACAAATCAAGCAGAGAATAGGGAGAGAGGGAGACAGAAAGCTGAAAGACATGCACATATTTCAATATTAATCACCTCAGTAATATTTTATCAGGCTTTAAAAATCCAATCCTGAGCATATTGCCTGTGACTCTTGGCAATGATTATCTCTCCCATGCTGCTTAGGACGTCTGAGCACTGTTTTAGGGAGCCAGACTGACTGACCCGCAAACTGGCACTGACACAGCATTTAACTAACCTTATGCTGCTCAGCTATACCAACGCTTCCCAGTGGAAATATCATAGGCCATCTCTCCCCCAAGCCTTCTGTCCTCTCCAACTCAATTTCCCACTAAATCCAACCCATCCTCGGGAAACCATCTTACAACTCAGTGATTATCCGATTATCCACCTTGTCGTGATTGGTAGGATCAGGTCAAATGATCCCTACAGTGGTCATCATATCTGTGGAGAGAGGGGTCAAGGAGGTGGTGGTTGATGAAAAGCGAGTCATCAATACTGTATGTAGACCTATTCCCCTCGCTCCCACTGCTTCGGGCCATTAAATTTTAAACTCACAGATCTGCCATTGTCCCTGTCACATTGGTGATACGTGAGAAAATAATGATATGATCTAAAAATTTGCCCAAGATGTTTCTGAAATAAAATGTGATCACCAGCAAATGTGACTTGGCAAATAAATTACCAAATAAATAAATTAAATTAAATAAGATAAAATAATAATTAAAAAGCTAGATAAAATAAAAATTAAAAAGCTTTTAGCTGGTATTTCTCTGCTGTGCGAGAAGATGTTGATACAAGACTACAAAACATGGCCTTCTATAATTGTTTGTGTAAAATAACGCCTCTGCAAATGTCTGTGTGCATGTGTTTGTGTGTGTACGCTCAAGAGTGAAGGCATTGTATATGGTTGTGTGCAAGGTTTTAGGTAAAGGAAAAAGAGCAGCACACAGTGTGGGGCAGGGTATCTCACTAATGAGGCTTTATAGCTGTGGGATGCGAGTCACACACACAGCCCATGGTCTAGGGAACATTTAGTGTCTCCTCTCAATTCCTCACACATCATGCCGAGTTAGCTTTTACTTAGTCACCCTCCTCTGTCCTCCCTTCCACAGCACACAGAAAATGAAATGTTTTGCAACACTTTATCAAACGTTTTGCTTGCAAAGAGTTTGCCTCTAACAACAGGTGAATGTCAGGCTAACAAGATACAGTTCAAAAGCATCAGTACAGTCTAGTCTATATTTGTATCTGTAGACAGACAAATTAATTTGCCATTTATAATAACAATAATAATAATAATGTTACCAATAACTGTCAGTATTCATATTTTTGACTGTGGACTACAGTTTATATAGAAATGCAAAATGAAGACGCTGGTACTATGTAAAGGAGAGAGAGAGTGAAAACGAGAGAGAGAGAGAAAGAGAGAGAGAAAGAGAGAGAGAGAGATCTAACAGGTGTCGACTAGGGCTGCCCATGGACCAAATACTGCAACAGGCAACACGGTTGACTCTGGACAGGATCGACAGATTTGCCGTGCATCCCTCATTTGGAATTGCGCCAAACAGTATATTTTATTGGCTTCGTTTTCTCTGAAGTTAGCGACATTCAAACTCCATTTTCTACCTGGAAAGCAAAGAGGATTATGCGCTGATTGAGTAACTCTCAGTACTTTCTTGGCACCTCCTGCGCGCCCGTCGGCTCTCCAGCTCTCCATTTAGCTTTCGAGCGGTCCAAAGTCCTTCATCATTTAGACGGGACGTGCACTGGACTGATGTACAGAGAATTTAATCCATTAGAAATATGTTGGAATTTTAACGATATGGTGAGTTTTTCTTTGTCTTTTCTTGTTTCTTTTAGCAGTTTTCGAATTTAACCGGAAACATGTTCATGGCGCATTATTGTATCACCTTTAAAAAAATTAAATTATTATTTACCTTATTTCTGGAAAGAGTTAGGGTAGTAGGATTTACGGTATTGCTACCAGCTTTAGTTAAAATTTATTTTGACCTTTATCTATATCATTTCATTTTAAACATTTGAATTAGTGCATTTATATAACAGTTAGAATATGTTTATTTGTAGCTAAAATACGAAGACAAATCAATTACTCAGTGTCTTTTTGCTATCCTTCCCAGATCCTAATATAGCCAAAGGAGGAATCTTTCCAAAGCACACCCAAGTTGACAAAAGTGTTACTGGTTTCCTGAAAATGGCACCTTTTTAATGTGAACACTGGAATTAAGATAAAAGTGAATAATCATAAGATGACTGTATCAGGAAAAAATCTCTGCTGAACTTTTGTCACTTACAGGCATGGCATTAAGTGAGACATCCACATGAATTGAAATACTGTGCTTCATAGTGGGGGCTTGAAAGAAGAATTTTCTTTGAGAAAACAGTAAACAATACCTCATCCAACAAACAATACCTCCTCTCCCTCCTCAGTGAGCTGAATTTGGCACCAGCCCTTATTTCAGCATACTTTTAATAAGCTCCCGCTTTCACGGCAACCCTCTCAGTGTCAGTCATGGTTTCTGTTTGATGCTGAAAACTGAATTTAACTGGAGGAGGACAGGAAACATCAATAAAAGAAAAAATAAGGTGAAGCATTATTCATCACATAAATTATGTTTTTCGTAATGTGTCACCACAAATCTGAGATATCAGTATATTTTGCTTCACTGTGATGTGTCAAGTTTTCATCTTTTTTAAACATATAGCTACATTGCTTCAGGTCTTCTAGACCTTGTTATCATTTTTCTGGGATACTGCCATTTTCTGTTCTCTTTCATACCTGACCCTGTGATACACTGTTTACCCCCACTGCTTGCTGCATCCGTCTTTACCTTTTCATACCATACTGGTTTCCTGAGCGGCTTCATCCTGGCCGGCACTATTCCAGCCAAGGGGGAGGAGGACTTCCTGACGCTGGCCGCCTCGCGGCTGAGCCACAGGAAACGTGTCATTGGAGCTGCTGTAGGTGTGGCCATGGTTCTAATACTTTTGGTGGCCATTCCCCTGCTGGTCCACACAACCAAGGGGGGGAATGCCGGAAATTCAGGGAGCCATTATGAAATGCTTGGAAGCTGCCGGATGGTATGTGAACCGTACAGCACCTCTCAGCCAGGCCAGGAGCTGACAGCCGTGTCACCACCACCCCAGGATTACTCTGGGAAGAAGATAAAGTCTGGGCTTCGTGGGCCTCCAGGCATCCCTGGCCCTCCAGGAGCACGTGGACCCCCTGGAGAGCCAGGCAAACCAGGGCCCCAGGGCCCCCCAGGTCCAGGTCCTGGTGGCTATTCTCCCTCACTCTACACTCCCAAAATTGCTTTTTACGCAGGGCTACGCAAGCAGCACGAGGGGAGCGAAATACTGAAGTTTGATGATGTGGTGACCAATGTTGGTAACTACTATGAGCCCAGCACTGGCAAGTTCACCTGCCCTCTGCCTGGCATCTACTTCTTCACCTACCATGTTCTAATGAGAGGTGGTGACGGGACCAGCATGTGGGCAGACCTGAAGAAGAATGGACTGGTTAGTAACAGTGTGTATGCTTGAATGTGCACACCTAACGGCGTGCATCCAATATACGGTGTGTATGTATGTGTTTGTATTTATGTACACACATGACTATGTATTATTTTTTTCATTGTTGACCATCCTGTTACCACTGGCACAAATCACCTCTGTAACACTGAGCACTTGCGATTCAGAGCACATTCCACTTAGCAGGTGGCAACATGACAGCCACAGAATGAAACAGTAATATTTCTCCTCATTAAGAGGAATTCATGCTATACCGTCGAATCGCAGCTATGGATAGTTGCATTCCCACATGTACTGTGGCTAAATGACAAGTGGCAGAATGCAGCTACTGCCGCCAAAAGGAATAGTCTAATTAGTAAGTATCATACACAGAGCTTGATTATCGCCTAAACAGAAGTGCAAAAGAGCACAGGAGAAATATCTGTCAGTACGTGGACCTGTCAGTTTGCACCTCAGCTAAATAAATAATGAATGCAAAATTGACAATCCACTCATCCACTCCCTCATTCCCCAGACACTAATTAAGAATAGAGGGGATGATGTGGGGGAGCGAGAGAGGAGAAGAGAGGTGGGGAAAAATCACAGGGATTTCATCAGAGAGCTCCACACTCAGGAAACATTCTTCAAGTTGTTTTATGTATTTATTTTTACATTCATTCATTCATTAAGGACTTAAAATGCAAACACTCTCTAATCATTCCATACATATAAGGACTGTTCAAACTCACAGGCTAATCTAGGCTCATATGCATTGTATAGATCACCACATGGACTAAATAAGGCGGATTAGACTTGATTTAGTGAGATGTAAATGTTTAAAATCATCATCTTTATCCATTTTATTATATATGCTATATATGCATGACAGCACAAAGGTGAATATGTGTTTAATTCTGCCTGCTTAATGTCCTGTGTTGTCATTCAAGTTATCATAGTCTGATTAATAATTTATACACCTTAGATTAGGTCTCCTGAACACACACTATACTTTCCTCTTCTAGCCCCTCCCCAGCTTGTTCATTGATTCTCCATTAATTATCTTTTCACTCAGCTCAATTATTTAACCTCACTCAGGTACATCTGACACCCATCAGGTGGCCTCCTTACACAGTGCGGTTAAATAGAGCGCTCACCTATCAGGGAGCGACCTCAACAGAGCTGCTGCTAGACGGCAATGGAGTGTAAATGAAATACAGCAGAATACCTGATCAAGTTTGGATTTACTGAAGCCCCAAGGCCAGTGGATGCTTTGCCAGAGGGCAGTCACCGGTTAGGGTTTACTAAAAAGGCACTAGATGTGCTAGGCTGCTTTCTAACTGTAGAATCAAATGCTGTGTTTTATGACACCATTGGTTCTGAAGCTTTATTGGATATCTTGCCTACCCACCCGGTTATTTAAAATAAAAAACAGGATAGCAGTAGATGCAAATTTTCCACTTTACCTTTCCAATTGTGCTTTCATGTTTATACCTTAACAGATAAGGTATTTGTAACCTTATGTTTGTTAGACAGCCTGTCCAACAGACTGAGGAGATTTGGTGAGAAGGAATGCAACACAAGAAACTCAACATGCAGGGACATGCTGAAGTATCCACATGGAAACCGAGAAAGGGAAAGTAAAACAAAACAAGCAAGTGGATGGGAGGTTCATGGGTGGAGCAGAGGAAGATGGATGACTTAATGGAGATGTGGAGACAGTGGGCCGGTAGATGAGGCATCAGGGAGGCTGTTGGCGAAGGCCAGAATGAGATCAGGCACGATGACCAATGGACACCCACTCAACATGTCTCAGCTTGACAAGTGATCAAGGTTGGCTAGAGAAAGAGAGAAAACTGCACAAACATGCACCAACTGAGCAAGTTTAAATGCTAAAAAAAAAAGCAAAAACAAAAACAATCTGTAAAATCATTAACTCAGAGCAATAGGTCTGATGTACAGTATAACTCTGCTTGTATTATTGATAATGATGTTTATTTTGACACACCACACTGGTAGCTGGACTGTAACTTGTGTTGTGGTATGACTGTGGTTATAATATAATGCCAGGATCTCAGAAGCATGTGCTGGCTGTGGCAGGGCTTCAGTGGGATTCCAATAGATCCAATATCTATTACCTTCACCAAATCCTTACTCTGTAAAGCCTACCTGCTCACTCCTCAATCTGACTTGAACAAATCATTGCAGCATGACAGGGCTGCAGAGCCACAGGATTTATGATTGAAGGAGGTCACACCTCAGTTGCTGCCATGTTTGTAATGCGATGGTAATTGACCTACAGCACAATTCCAGTGTTTGATGAGAATGTTCGCTGAACACCATTACACCCTATTCTTGCTCAGCTGATCAACCCCAGCTGTGTTATTTGCACAGTTAGGAAGCACGAGGCATGCAATGCCAAATTTGATAGCCCCCGTTTGGGAAGACAGTGGATTCGTATAATATCCCTATGATACTTAATAGCTTAATGTTAATTTAGCTTAAATTATATCATTATAAATTCCCTTCTCTTTATGCCACTACTACTGCAAACTTGTTTAATCATTCTAGCCTTATTTCACTGCCAGGGATAGAGGGGTTTTATACTATTTAAATTCTAGCCTATGAATGCATTATGCTGCGAAGGGCGTTAATACGTCATGCACACGTTCTCAACGGAACTTCTCCCTTTCCCCTCATTAACTGGTATGTGAGCTGTTCACCTGATCATTCTTATTACCATAGTGTACCGTTGTATATCTATATTGATATTCTTAATACAATGCGCACTGTAGACTAATAGATAACTGGCTCAAGTCCCATTTCATCTTTCCCTTGTTTTTTCACCTGTCATAGACTCTTTTAATAGCTCAGTTAAAGGTCAAGTTATTTCACACAGTAGTGTTGAAATGTCATCACTTGCCGTAATGACCGGTACCTGTATTAACTTGGCCAGAGGCATAGATATTCAACAGTTGAAATATAATTAGCCTCAGAGAGAAAGGCAAGAAAGAGATACAAGCAGATATTTGTTCTGTGAAGACACGCTGAATTTTGTTTATTTTTAGTGCATAAAAGATCTAAATAAAACACTACATTGTGCCTTTGATGATTAAACATGCTCATGAGGTTAATCCCGTTTATGCTATGCTCAGCTTTTGTCTTAGGTTGAATAGTAGGCAATAGTAAATCTAAGGTGGGGTTCAGTACAGTCACTTTTCACCATGTAATTCCTGGGATCCCAGAGGAGAGGGGGAGCCTATTCAATAAATATTCTATTTCCACAATATCCCCCCCTGCCAAACCCACCCCCACCTTCCCCCAACCGTCCGGCTATGTGCTGGAGTCCCTTAGGTAAGTTTAACTGCTACTTTTCGATTGTCTCCGCTCTAAGAGGTCAGTATATCAAAGTGAATGAATCCTGTCAGTTTTATTACCAGTGGAGCACAGCACCACAGATAAAAACAAGACTTCATACACCCCCACATCTCCCTGGTCTCACAAAATAGCCTTGTTTGATCGGTCCAGTTACTCCAGGGCCCCTCCCTCCCCTTTCCTAAACTCTCTGGCCCTTGTTTTTGTTTTGTTTTTTCACCCGTTCCCTTGTTTGTCTATCCTTGTCTATTGTTCATGCCACCCCCTCCACTTGTACAGAAAATGACACTGCAGCTGCTCCCCACACCAAAGCCACCAATCCTCCCTGCCGTTTCCCCCTTGCCTGTGGCCCCCTCTTCTCCCAGGCATGTTTACTGGAAGCCCTTTAATGAAAGGGCTAGGCAGAGACAGAGACAGCCACAGGCAAGCTCTGGGGGCCCGTGCCTCAAGGCTCACAACCCTTCCAACTCCAGGATCAGCACAGTGTGCTGCCTGGTTCACATGGATCAGTCTGTGTCCCCCAGCCATATCCATCTTCTCTGTCGGCTTCCTGTCCTAATCCCACCTCAGCTCTCTCATGCCTCTCTGTCTGGCATCTGCATTAATAGGTGACTCGTATTATTCCTTTGTGCACAGGAACATTGGCTGAAACATCCGTTCATATACCATATATTGGCAAAAAAAAATCTCTATGCTGTGGTGTTGTACAAAATTCATCTGCACTTCCATGCATTAAGCTGTGAGAATCTTGGAAGGCCTGAGTGAAAAAGATCTTCCAGATAATAAATCCCAGACCAAAATAATGAGCCGGATGACATATGACTGGTGTCAATAGGAAGCCACAACATCACTGCTGTCAGAGGCATCCAAAGATGCAAATGTGGTATTGGCTGTCACTACACATGTCAAGCAGAACAACAATATAACCTTTACAGATGACAATGGAATGGTGTCATTATTTGAGAGATGACCATATGAGAACCTAACAAACAATATATCATATTCATTGTTTAATTGTACTAAGTGGGAAGGCTCATGTAGCATAAACCTTTTTGCTAAACAGTTATTCTGATTTCATAATAAAATTATTTCATATTACCTAAATGTTAAGCACACATTTTGGGTTTATGCTTATGTAGGTTACTGATAACACCTACCACCTGTGGAATGTTGATGAAGAGACAAAATTCTGACAGATAAGACAGATAAAAAAAAGTCTAATTACACTGGAATATTTACATCTCTCTGTTTACACCATATTGTCATCAAAGGAGCAAATATTTTAATTAGCTTAGTAGTCAACCTATTATATTAACCACTGGACAATGTAATGTAGAAAAGCTGCACATCTTTTAGGCATCGGAAAGTCCTAGATTTTCTAAACAATCCTGTGGACTACAGTTGCATGGTGTGAAACAAAGCTGTTGTAGTAGTGTAATCATAGTGGTGGTTGGCTTTACCGTGCCGTTGCTGAACTGAGAAATCCCAGGAGATCGACTTCTCTGAGCCTTAATCAGCCTGGTTTAGAGTCAACCAGGACATGCTTAACCACCGCTCGCCAACATGCTATACAGTATGTTGGATGCAGCATCCATGACCAGCATCTGATGTGAGGATACCTACAGACAAGTGTCCAGGCAACAGAACACAATCCCAGGGTTGGTTGATACTGAACAATATGCTCAGGTGAGGGCAAAAATAAATGTGTGCAAAGGGAAAAGAGCACATTTTTGCTGCAATAATTTAGACTCTGCTGCTCAGCGCTTGGCTGTTTTCAAATTGATGCATGCCCATTGGGGAGAAAGGGGCCCCAGTGATGGGAATGACATGATGGTGGTTGAATTGCAGATCATATTCTGTGGCTGTCATGGAGATGTGCGTGGCTTGTCTGGCTGCTGACATAGATTGAGTGCTCCCACTGTAGATGGACACTGAGCCAGACACAAGGCCACTGATAGCTGACATATGCCTGATGATTGGAGCTGCTACATCAAAATTATTGACACATCCTGCTTAGGAGGATTTCAGGAGTGCTGCCTTGTGTATGGTTATATTTTTGAATTTGTCAAAAACATGTTTTGTTAATACAACATAAATCTTTTGAATATTATTTACTTTAATCTCCTAATTCTTGCACAGCGGTTAAGAAACACAATGCTTATGAGGGTTAAAAGTGGAATGAACAAATAAATAAATGAATAAATCCTGTTTTCTCCACAACTGTAACTCCAGCTAACAACATCTAGCTATGTGTATTTAAATGTCCACATTGAGCAAACCCAATTAAATGTGTTAACAAACAAGTAAAGATCCACTGCTGCTGGGTCAATAAGACTGAACTCACACACAGCATGCAAATGTAATATGTCTGGCTTAGGCATAGCCACTCAATATCATGCATATCGAGCTGGCCCAGGATCACAGGCAACAGGTCAATAGCTGGTGTAGATAGTGATGGTGTTTCTCAGCTAAGCTAGTTTCCCCATAGACAATTTGTTGTCCCCAGTGAGTCCACTTATCTCCACAGCCCAGTCAGATCTCCATCCTCTGGCCATTTGCCCTTATCCCCAGCCACATCTGATCAATAAGAGGCAGGGTGGCTGTGTTTTCAGTCCACTTCTGGGGTCACAGGTCACAGTTCCATCTGTCTGTTTATCCACCGTGAATGTGGAGGCGATGCCATACTCATGACATCTCATTTTAAGGCTGTTAATAATTGATTTTGACCAATCCTGACAAAAAAAAAGAAAGAAATGTGACAAAGGAAGAGAATGTGATATGATAGTTTGATATGCGGAGCACCTGGAGCTGGTGAGTCACTGGCAGTGACATTTGTGTTTGTTCACTTTCGTCCATGTTCTAATTGTCAATGCATCTGTCCTCTGTGGGTGACAGGTAAGAGCCAGCGCCATCGCTCAGGACGCTGATCAGAATTACGACTACGCCTCCAACAGTGTGATCCTGCATTTGGACGTGGGTGATGAGGTTTGTGTGCAGCTGGATGGAGGAAAGGTTCATGGAGGAAACACAAACAAGTACAGCACCTTCTCCGGCTTCCTCATTTACCCGGACTGAATCTAATCCTTACTCACTGAGAGAAGACCAACATACTCAAAGAAACATTCACACTTACACAGACATGCATGTATGCAAATTATTGCTGATACATAAACATGCACACTTAAAAGTACATCTACAGATATCCTGAAATGACGAAAGTGTGGATTAAATGAAAATTACAGAGAAGAGCAGTTAAGCTGAGTTGTGTGATATTGAGACAGTCATCATGAGCAACAGCATACGTATATTGGCTCACATTGTGTGCAAATGTAAATTTCAGAATATGTACAGCATAAATGCAGATAACAGTTGCGAGTTGTTGCAGCTAATAATATCTAAAATATTCTAGTGTGTTCCATATTAACTGACATTGTGAGAACTAGACTACAACGAACACCATCAGTTCGATTGTTTTTAATGCAGTAATGGTGTTGAGGGTGCTATTAATCAAGATGATTAAGCTGAGACAAATGCACTCTTAATGTATTCCAATCTTTACCTAAACAGTATTTACCTTATACCTGCTCTCCATTCTAATGACCTCTGGTCAAATGGCCTGCCTATATTTTGAAACGTATCTTTGTGAAATGTTTTTCCTATGCTTCAAAGAGAATTACACCGATTGAGAAATAAAAAAAAACAAAAAAACCCTGGTTGTAACTAAATGTGCACTGGGACAGTACTGACTAAAACAATGCCATCTCTATAAACACACACCCTTCTTTTCCTGTTTGCATCATGACACAGAATGCCAAGATAAAACAAGACATGTTAATATTGCAAGGAAACACATAAAGATATTTTATCAATGGAACTTGTGTGATGAAGTTTTAATTTCCAAGCGTGTTACTGGCAGTATTGTGAGTGTGCATGTGGGTGGGTTTGTCAGCAGGTATGAGTGGATGTATAGATACTATAAGATAATGGGGCAGTGAAAAAGTGACAGCTGTGTTGTACAATACATTACTGACACCTTGCTATTGTGATACCACCATTACTATATAGTACTTTGTTTTTGAGAGATGCTGTCAAAGTGTCATTACACAATATGCGATACAACACAATAATCTTGAGCTGGGGTATCTGATATGTTGAATAGGTTGAGTAGACAATATTGCTACTAAAATCTCTATACTAATGTTCTTACATATTTTTCTTACATAGTGAAGTTAGGGCTGAATAAAGGTTTGCACATTCAGCATTCATGAAAAAAAACAAAGACCCTTGTTCAGTTTCATTTACAGTGACCACTTGGATTAAATGAGCAGAACTGGAGACGTGGCTATGCGGCTTTGGAGACAAGATCGAAGCTTGCTACAACATGGATTTCCAATATGTCTTAAGGCACTAAGATACAAACATTAATAGTGAAATACTGACCTTGGCTTATAATACACCCAGGATCTACAAAATCCAGCCAATTTATATATTTTAAATGTAACAACATAGTTTCCAGTTGTACATATAAACAAATATTGGTTCAGTGTTTCATAAGGCTTGTCATTGCTTATTATACATTTGAACCAAAGTCAGTTGTTGGAAAGCCCGACAGTAAGAAATGCATCCTGGAAATCAGTGAAATTTTTTAAAAAATAATATTGGTACATTTCTCTTAATTTATTGATGATCCTAGTGATTTTATAAAAGTGGTGTTGGTTTCTCTTTTTTTCTCTCACTGACACACACACTTGTATAGATAATTGTGAGGACATTCGTTGACATAATGCATTCCCTAGCCCTAGCTAATTCTAACCTTAAAGCCTAAAACCAAGTCCTGACACTCAAACAGTCCCAAAGAAGCCTAAAAAGGGTGAGGACCAGCCAAAATGTCCTCAAGCCCATGGTTTAAAATTCAAACCAGTCCTCACGCTGATGGCCATACACACACAGAAATCTATTATGTTGATTTGTACACATGCCATCTATTGCATGTTTGTCCACCTTGGAAGAGGCATCTCTCCCCTGTTACTCTGATTTACCTCATTTATTTGTCCCTTTTATCTCTATCATACCATTGCTTCTTTGTTTGTTAGTTAGTTGCCCCCTTGAGGCAAATGTATGATTTGTGATATTGGGTTATATAAATAAAATTTGATTTGTGACATATAAATCCTGCCTCTTTGAGTGAAACAAATTCATACAGCATAACAAAACAAAAATCACACCTTAATCTCCTCTTGAAAACTCTCCTCTCCTCTCCTCTCCTTAAAACTACAGCTGACATTAGCAGTTATTTTCATTATTGCCTAATCTACTGATTATATTCCTGATCAGCTATGGCAATTGTTTGGTCCAACAAATGTCAGCCAATAAAAAGAACAAAACAAAAAAAACATTTAAAAATCCCAGAGCCCAAGATGACATCTTCAAATCTCTTGCTTTGTCCAAAACCTGGAGGCATTCAGTTTTATATTATACAAGACAAAGAAAAGCAGTAAATGCATATGAAAATCTGTTTTTTCCCCTCAATATTTTGCTTGAAAAAAAAAATCAAGTGATTAAATATGAAAAACATGAAGTACACATTTTATTTAACATGAAACACAGGTGATGACATTCTAGACTTAAAGGATTTGGTGAATCTGTTGTGCTTGAGCTGAGAAAGGGGGATGTAGCTGTGCCGTGCCTGGGCCCTGCCCCTGGCTCTCTCTCCTGGCCAATTCCAGTTGAAAGTTAATTGGACGGGGTGAGGTCTGAGACAGGCTGCGCTGAGGCCCATTAGTGATTCCCCTATCGAATGCAGAGCCATGAGGATCACAGACTCACAGATAGGAGGATTAAAATAATCAATAGCCTCGACTTCCATCGATTACACACACAAACAGAGTAATTAGTGGACAGCAGTGGACTAGACCCCCCCCCCCAGAACCTAACCACACACACGGGCTCCACAGTCAGATATCTATGGTGTCTAATGAGGGGAAATAGTTGTGGCTGCTTGTGAGGAAAATGAAGAAAGGTCATGAAGGCACCAAACAGCCTTCTACAGCTGATATGCTTTGTTACCAAATTGTTTCTCTGAAAAGTTACAACACAGCCACACACGCTCACACACATGCACAATAAATTTTTTTTTTTTTTTTTACTCTGAAATATTCTTCATAAAGCTGAAAAGAAAACAAATTGCCACATCTAATAATAATTTATATTGAAAGTAGATAATATGCTTTAGGTTCTTACTTTGGCTCAAGAAAGTAGAAAGAGCAACCTATTCATTTTGTGCTACACAGGTACTGTATGTTGTGACATGGCACATTCTAGAAGCAGCACTGCCCTCTTGTGTCAAAGAAAAAGCAGCACAAACAAACACTATGCAAAATCTATTAATACAAGGATATAACAAAGCTTGTACTCCTGAGTCAAACAAATCCAGTCAAAACAACAAGACAGGTTTTCAGGAAAAGTTTTTATTTAAATGCAGCAACATAATTGGGGTGACTTAAAAACATGGGAACCCATCTGAAATGTTTCTACATGATGATAGTATGGCTTTGAACACATGGGTTTACTGCAGATCAGAGGAACATGTTCCTCATCCAAAGCAAGAGTTGGCCAATAACACAGTATGTTGCTGACAGTATTACACTTAAATATCCAACTTTGACACACGATTATCAAGAGTTACAATGTATCACTATTAGTTTGTGTCTTCTCCATTGCTGCATGTTGGAATGTTACTGCAAACTATGCAAGCACTGACTCCTGAATACATACAAGGTGGTCACAGATGTGACAGGATCTGGCCACAAAGCCGTGATCACCTGTGGTCTTTTGTAGGGAATGTAAAGGCACTTCTTAAATTAAACGTGAAAAACTAATCCATGGAAAAGGCTGGAGGGACTGTAGAAGCTAGTTGCAAAAAGAAGATACATGTGACAGGATAAAAAGTGGGATGCTCCTCGTCTTCAGCCGCTCATGACCATCCTGACCAGCTCTGAAAGAGACACGAAAGAGAAAAATGTAAATTTCATGGGCTAGATCTTGGCAGACCTTCTCCAACTACAGCATGTAGAGCCAAGCACCCCTCCTCATCTATCTTTGGCGAGCTTGGGCGGGAGATGCTGCATTTGGAGGCAGATCCCCCATATTCTGCTCACCCAGAGGAAAGAGGGTTGAAATGGGAACTGAGAGAAAGAGGTGATATAATCATCTCTATCTCCTATTCAGCCAAAGTGTTTGGCAGTGTCTATGATCCAAGAAGAGTTGGTTAGAGAAGCCATCCTCGCTGTATGCTTTCCTCTAGTTGAGAAGCGGAGAAAAGGGGAGAAGATCAAGGGAGCTACAGTCCAGTCAGAGAGCGGCCAGCAATAAATTCAGTTTCTATCAGTTGAGAGGAGAAAACAACCCGCAAAAAGCAACTCATTGCAAATCCCTGGTTAGTAGAAAAAGGGACTGGTCCACCCTTCCAAAGCTGGTGGCTATAATGAAATTTCAAACTGACAGTCTATGAAAAAAGCAGCACCTCTGACCAGTGTTGTAGTCAAGTCACTAAATCTCCAGTCCGAGTTGAGTCTGCATCACCAGAGAATAAACCGAGTCGAGCCACCGTTATCCAAGTCAGAATCATCAAGGCCTATATTAAACACAATTGACACAGGTCTCACCACTTTATATTCTAAACTTTCCAACAGGGTAGTGCATCACTATATTGTCCAGCAATTTGATACATAAAAATAACTTATAGAAAGGTAAGAGTGTATGCTTCAATGGAAGCGTGCCGGAAAGAGCATGGTGCAGGTGAACAGGTTTTAATATCAATAACTTAGGGCAAATTATTCTGGTCTATTACAAAACAAGTCTGAGTCTCCAGCTTCTGAGTCTGAATTCAGTCATTGCTTGTGTCAGAGTCAGTGCTCAAGTCTAAGTCGAGTCACGAGTCCTGAAAATCTGGACCCGAGTCTGAGTCCTGGAATAGAGTACTACAACACCGCCTTTAACACCAACAGAACAAAAGGGCAGCCTATTTTAACAGTGCTAGTGACATGCAAATGAGATTATAAGAGCTGCCTTGTGACCACCACAACAGTCAGCTCTAATGACTCGACAGTGGCCACCAGGCTTTCCCTGAATGAGACCAGTCTCTTCCCTGTGTATCCACCATATCCTTTTAGAAACTAGGGGAATCCCACACATGCAGAGGGGCATGCTGCAGCCAGGGGCCAAAACAGAGGGCTGCAGGAGAGAGAGACAGAACAGCAGCAGGCTACACATGGGTCAAAGCATCAGGACTTAGGATGAGAAGGACCACCAGGCTTACCCAGAGGCACCTACTTTGTAACAGCATATTGTCCCTGTTTGACAATATGACGAGCACAGATAGAGCTAATTAGTGTTAGGATGGCCTGACAGGGTTAAATTATCGAACAACTAAAAAGCAGGAAAGCCTGGAGGTGCCAATTCATGGAATACCCAATGCTCGTACCGGCCCTCAGCCTGACATGATGTGACGAACGAATACTGTGGAGGAAGAACAGTTAACATGCTATCAGAAGTTGACATTTATACAAGCCCTCTTAAAGCAAATATGTGTTCTGAGAACACATAGTAAACAGCATCTGTTAGGTGTGTGACGATACCCTTATCTCACAAGACAATACACGATATTAGGATAATGAGACGAGTTTTTAACACAATTAAGAAATCTTCAGCGATGAAATATATAAGTGGAAAAACTGTCTTACTTGACAAATGCAAAACAATGCAGGTGCATTTTGAAATGTTTTAACTAATCACCTTGTAATGAATGTCACTTCACGAGTATGAATTATCATATGCAGTAAAAAACCATATGCAAGCACTGTAAAAGGTTTTGCCCCAAACTCACGTGACTGGATTTCACACGAGTCTCTTCAGACCTTAGAACTGCATAACTATAATAGAAGCTGTGTGACTTTCTATACCATTTTCATCCTCACCACACTGGATGGTGACATCATCTGGGAAATGTGCTGCACTGACCAACCATATACATGGGACAATCAGGACATGGACACCCATGGGAACAAGACTCCTTTGCTAACTTTGTTAGCATGAGCATTCACTGCTATTCACTGTTGAATTTGGGCCACAGTTAATTACACGATATGCATTTTCATGGATGGATTCAGTACTGGATGTTAAGCAGTTTTTTTTTTTTTTAATCCATCAATGCTGACACACTGGTGGTAGAATTTGGTGCTAAGGCAGAGTAGGCTATGTTAGCAGCATGGCTAGCTAAAGCACAATGGAAACTCCTGGGCTGGAAACATGAATGAAGCCACTCCCGTTGACTTATCACAATGTGGCCATATCATACACGGCTACAACACTCCCCCTGCAACCCCCTCACCATCTGACAAACGCAGCCCTGTGTGTTAAGACGCAGCAAGGAGTTGCATTTTTGCCGGACTAATGTGAATGTACCATCACACACCGTCATAATAGCTGCTGCTCTGGTTCTGTTACAATATGTACAGATTTTAGCTTTTGCCTCGAAGAGAAATATTGCCACGTTTTATTACTGCAAGATCTCGTAGCACCAGATCTCAACACACCCCTAATAGCCGTTAACATGACTAGAAACCCACTTCATCATAAGACTCAACTGAACACAGTGGCCAGCTGTTTGGTACTTCCTATGATTGTTTTTAGAGAACTGAACATTTGCATTTCTAAAAACTCATCTACATTTAGCCTCAAATGACTTCTCTTGGCAATTACACAATATGTCCTGCTACATGCAGAGTAATGGATGACAGGGCCTTCATTATCACATTGCCAAGACTGGATATGAGAGTTACATTGAATAGCTAGCAGATTTATAGCAATGGCATCATTATACAACATCAGCTTAACTGTAGTCATCGCCTTTCTTTTTTACTTTTCTTTTGTTCCCACCTTCATAATTGATGCAGCCATTTGCATCTTCGTGGCCTGCCAACAGTGTCTCCACTTCCTCCTCTGTCATTTTCTCACCTGAAAATGGAACAAAAAAACATCTATTTACATAACATGGCTGACAGTTTTCAAATAAAGGAATTACAATGTGAATTAAATCAAATACTGAGTTTGAATCAGATCTGTATAGTCTTCCCATACAGGCATCCATTATTATTCAATATGCAAGGTTGATAAAACCAGTAACTTGCCTAGCGAGGTGAGGACGTGACGTATCTCTGCTCCCATTACTGTACCATTGCCCTCCTTGTCAAAGACACGCAGTCCCTCCACAAAATCCTCCAGAGAGCCCTGATCTTTATTCTTAGCAATTGCCTGGAACATGGGCAGAAACTGCTCAAAGTCAAGCATCTTGGTGTTCATCTCTGCAAAAAGAGAAGAAAATTAATTCCTCTAGAGAAATTCCTGTTTTCCTACTACAATGACGCAACATGTTTTGAATAAACATATGTAATTCCGATTAAGTTAATTTTTCCTCTGACCCTCAGCCTTGGGGTTGCCCAGGACCTTGAGCACCTCAGCGTTGACAGGGTTCTGTCCCAGGGCCCGCATGACTTCCCCACACTGGCTGTAGCAGATCTTCCCATCTCCTGTCCTGTCGAACCGCAGGCA